ATAGAATCATAGAATCATAGAATCATAGAATCATAGAATCATAGAATGGCCTAGGTTGAAAAGGACCAGAATGATCATCTAGTTTCAACCCCCTGCTATGTGCAGAGTTGCCAACTACTAGACCAGGTTGCCCATCCTCCAAAGAGATATCCAAAGCTAGATCTCCAAGAAGGGCAAATAAAAGTAATAGTGAAATATGTGTAGGTGTAAGAACAAGGAAGAGGAAGAAGACATAACAAAGTGGTCAGTTAACAAAAAAATTTCCATATTAATTTTAGTCAGAGAATGAGGCTTAAGAGAGACACTGTCTGTTCTGTACATTTCCTGAAGTCTGCCCTTTTCTGGCTCATTCCTTCAACTCTTTGCTTAAGATCTCTCTTGCTTCCCTTTTCATTTTGAGTTAGTTCCTCTCTGCTCTCATCTGTAGGATCTACTGCTTTGCTGTGTCATGAAGCAACAGAGGGCTATTATGTTCATTCTCAAGTTCTGGAGCATGCTCAGTTGCTGAAACATTGGTGGACAGAAAGGGTAGATGGAGCTAGAAACTGTGAGATGTTTGTGAGCCTGCAGACAGGACAGCATCTCTGGAGATTCTAGGAAGCCTGTACTCATCCTAATGAAAATGTAGTTTTTCAAAAGCTTATGGTCATATTTTGTCAAACTTCGTAAGGAGCAGCTGACACAAAAGCCACATTCCAGTAAAATTCCAAGTTTTTAAGTCCTAAAGATACTAGAATCTCACAAGGGAAATGTCACAATAAATTCTGAAAATGCCTCAACAATGTACTTTTTCCCTGGCCTGTCCTTCATCGGCAGCTGAATTATTTTAACAGAAATTCCTTTCAAAAAAAGTCACCCCCAGCTATTGCAGAATATGAGAATTCAGCCCAAGTTGTTAAAATTATCAAAATTAAGCAACAACAGAGGGACATGCACTGAAAGACAACCTTTGTGCAAGGCAATCAGTCCCAAGAGTAAAGATCTGGAAATAGGGATATGGAAAGTGAGGTGGCAAAATCTGCAGGAGACAGTATATGAATTAATCAATAGATGACAGAGAGTAACTTCATAAGGTCTTAATAAAGTTAAGTGAATAGCCAGCATGATTGCAAATTTAATTCAAAATTGACAAATGCAAGATAATGTATTTTGGAAAGATATGATTTGAGCTGCTCATGTATTTGTAGAGTCCTGAATTAAGTGCAATTACTTGGGGAATGGCTTGGTATCATTATGAACAGTGCAGTGAAACATCCATTCACAACACAACAGCAATCAAACAAAAAAAGTGACCCAAGTGTTAGAGAAAGGTGAGATAAACACAACTGCAAACTGCTTGCACCATGTGTGCAGATTTATAATGAGCCCTCAATTGGAATGATAAGCGTGACATTTTTAAAAAGAGATGAGATTCGGAGTCAGATGGCAAAAATGGCTAGAGGTATGGAAATGCTTATGTTTGAAGGGAGATGGGAATTATACATCTTTCTTAAATGGAGCATACCGGGATTTCCTTTCAAGAACTCTGATATGGAGGAAGATTAGCAGTAGCCATGCATGTACATGACTAGCTGGTATGTCCATTCCTCACTGCTGCCGGGATGATGTTTTTCAGCACTACGGTCAGAGCTGCATGTTCAAGGAAGCCATGAACATCCTCAACATGCTTTTCACTGGGCTCTTCACTGTCGAGATGGTCCTGAAGTTAATTGCCTTCAAACCCAAGGTAGGTGCTATAGGTGTAGAGTTTCCTGGCCTCTGTGTGTGTGTGCATGTGTGCGGGGCAGCTGTGAGGAGAAGGAGGAGGTGAAACTCTCCGATCTATTACCCCACCAAGAACTGAGCAGGACAGTTGCTCTCTGGATTGGAGTCTCACATGTATTTAATAACTTTTTCACTGGAGAGTAGACATGCCAAATATTAAAACATAATATTAAGACAATAAGAAAAAACAGCAACTTCTGCTAATAGAGAAGGTTCCTAGTTCTGTTTTCATTGTGGTATACTGGTGATACTATGTCAAGGCTATAATATATTCCATGCTGAACATCATTCTGATGCTTGCTGTGACTTTGCTAAAATGGAATAGAAATAGCATCCCATGATTAGTCTCCTGGCCCAAGTAAAGTTAATCAAGTATGACTCATTTTGAGTTATGAACCTTAGGAAAAAAATGTTTCTTCTGGGAAGACTGTGGTTCAGTGCTAGTTCGGCTTAATTTAGTTTGGAATTTAAGACTTCATTGATAGTATTCAGTACCTCAGCAGATGCTGTCTGAAGGGGTTGTCCAATCCATTGCGCCATGACATTCTGCTAGTATAGTTGTATCATAGAGTAAGATACAAACTCTTCCAAGTCAGTTGTCACAGCTCAAAGGACAAAGTTTCTGACCTCACATATGTAGATCGCTCTGAAAGTAATGACTCCTATCTATTTTCATGGAAACTATAACAGATACAAAGAGGACAATAATGCCAGTTAATAGAGAAAATTCTCAGCTACTAAAGACTGTTTTGCAAAAAAAAAGTCGCCATTATTAGCTATGCATTTTCACCAGTAATGGACAAGAGCCTGAATGCCGAACTCATAAAAATCTGCACCAGCAGAGGTGACCTTCTGACACTGTTGCCACTGCTGAAATGCACCACCCACCACCTCACCGTGCCAACATCCACTGTTTGGTCTCCATAAACATTCAGCAAGCGTTGATGAATGTCAATGGTGGGTTTTTTTCTGGATGCAGGCATTTAATTACACAGCTTTTCTTCAAGCACGCTTCCATATCAGGCACCATTTTGTCAGACTGCCCCTCAGCTACCATCTGTCACACAGCAACAAAATGTAATGGAATATTTGTGAGAAGGCCTGACCTCTACTGCCATACCGCCAACATCCACCTCTAAAGTCATGGGCCAACGTAATAAAATAGGAGGCATTCCTTTCAGATCAACCTTCATAATTTAAAATTAGTTGAGTCTTTTTTTAGGGTTTAAATTCAGTGGCACGTCATAAGGAGAGTAATGAAGATACCTAAACACAGACAGGCAACTCATGCCTTTTTTTTTATATTTTCAACAATGCATTAGTACATGGAATTGCATCTTGCAGAATGCTTTAATACACAGGGGTTGGCAAATGCTGTCTGAGGCACCAGTTGTGACTAAGATGTCCATCATGTTAAAGATGCAGGAGTTCACTGAAGTTACACCCTTCTCCCAGGTCTTCACATCTTCATCCTCAGCTCAGGAACATTGTTCTCCCATTCTACTGAATTCAGTATAAATTTCTCTTGTTGTTTCTGTGTTGACATTAAATCCACCTGGCCTCTCTCCTTCTAGGAATGCTTTTTCCAGGATTTTTTTTAGAAGAGTCACAATGTTTGCTTGCTTCCTGAACCCAGTATCATTCTCCTTTCTTAGATGTACTTCTCTTGAAGGTTAGGATCATCTCATGCTGTCTTGGTGAAGGGCTGTTATTTCATGAGATCTCAAACACTGCATTGGGAAATTTAGAAGTGTCATCATCTGTATCAGAAGGGATTTCAATTCTCAGGAGGGATCTACCTTTCACTTTTGAGATTTTGCCACCAAATCTTTCAGCACTTTGTAAAATCTCTATCTGCATGTAATATACCCAGAAGTGTATGTCACAGACTTTGTAACGCTCTTTTGATTTCATGGTTCTACTTTATGGGAGATTCTTCACTTTGAGAAAGTTGAGGTTCTCTGGCAGAATTTGTTTTGAGCATTTGGGGAAGAAGTCCAATCAGTTCAGTTCTTGAGCTCCATATGTATGCAGAAAAGGTTTTATCTGACATGGTTGCCCCTAAGAGTAAGGAGCTGGATTTGTTGATGTTGTCCTTTCTACTTCCTGTGTCTTACTTTCCTGTGTTGTATCTCCTTTTCAAGTTTTGCTGCACAACAAAGAATAAAGCAAAGTCAGCTGAGGGCAAACCCATCCTCCAGACAGAAAAACACTGTAAGAGATTCCCCAAAGAGATTGTGGAATCTCCATCATTTGAAGTTTTAAGATTAAGTAAAATGAACCTTTTCTTAGAAGCAGTTTAGGAATGTACAGTCTACCATGGGACAAGGCAGTAGACTAGTTTTACAGGATTTCTCTCAGCCCAGTTTTCCATGATTCTGTAATTTCCAATCTAAATTCCCAGCTACTACAGTATAGTAGAAGTGAGAATATAAAAGAAGTCTTCCTTGTGACCAGAATAGTAGAATATTAATAAAGACTTCATGACTAAACATCAGGCACCAAGTTCAGACTGGGCCCTGCCCATCCTGAAGGAATAGCCATAGAAAGCAATAAATCTGTTTAAAATCCCAGCTTGGACTGTATGCCAAAAGTAGTTCAAATCTATCTAATTAAACTGTCTTAAACTGACAGTGTAATTAAACACTTTCAGGAAAATAAACAATATTATTTAAAATGGGACCACAGAACTTAGAGGGAATAAGAACAGGAATCAACTCATAAAAACCACTAGCACAGCACAATGACTTGCCTCTAGCATTGTACTCTCACCAGATTATGTTGAGTTCAGTCACTCAAATTTGGAAATATCAAAATGCTCTGTGTAACTTGTCAGTGTTAGTCCAGTACAAAGATTTAACCTTCATTCTGTGCTCCATGTTGACTGAGCCTGCAACTCAAAAAAGGAAACTACCTCTCCTAGAAGACCATTTGGATTGATGTGGACCAGCACTGGGTAGCATAGTCTGTTCATCTTTAGGCTGCACATTTGGAATTGAACTTGAACTTGCCAAGAATACGTTCTCGTGTAGGAATCTTTCATCATTGAGAAAACTGTTAGTTCCAGCCTCTGTTTGGCCCAATCTTGTGTTCTCCTTTAATGAAAAATATAAAAGCAACCAACCTACATTTGCAGGTGGAGGTTATTCCCAGTAAGCAGCTGAAAAAGTCCAAAAGGATTTCACTGTGTCACCTAGGGGAACAGCACAGCCACCATCTCTAACTCACTACCAACAGTTTTACAGGCAAAGACATGAGATGCAAAGTGATATTAGTGTTTCCCAGATAGGAAACAGCAATTTTAGAATGCAGAAATGCAGAATTGAATGCCATTTTCATAGCAATTAAACGCAAAACAACCTTTGTTTAAGATGGTTCGTCTCATTTTGATTTTGTTCTCCAACATCATTCTTTTCTATCTGATATGTTCTCTAAAATAGAGGAACTGTGAGCTTGTCATTAGTAAAGTTGACAGCAAGAAAGCAAGAAACTTAGGCAGCTGAAGGTGTTGTGTCCTCACCTTGGTGGCAACCCCCAGGAGAAAGTGGCAGAACAGAACTGAGCACACAATTGAAGGGGGTGAAATTCACTATTTCACTCTAGTTTTTCCAATTTTGCAGTGCTTAATCTAGCAGCTGATGCTGCAGCTAACCTTCAACTGCAGTAAGCAGTGCAATAGCTGATTTGTAACTTCAAAGCATCTACCACAGGGCTCTCATCTTGGAATGAATGGTCTGCAGCAGCAATACAGCATCACAGCTTTCTCCATCTGTGCAAACTAGAACAAGGTGCTATTTATTTGTAGCTTCTCTGGAGAGAATTGTTAACAGAACTGGGGGGGGTCTCTGGGATGCTCAGAGCTGCTACCACCCAGCTCCTTACAGAAGTCACCATGGGGACATGGCCATGCAGAGCAGCTTTGGAGGGAAGGCTGAAATTCCTAAGATGCAGAATTCCTGCTGCAGACAGTGATGTGGCACAGTATTATTTGAAGTAAAAATTTTTGCCGCTCTAATGCTACCTATATATTACCAGTGCAATAATGGAGGAGTTAGCAGTCTCAGACTGAACAGATTTTTTTTTACCATATCCAGTTTTTAATTCTTCACTCTTATTCTGTGAGGAGATTTGTCCCGCTTATTTTCGCTCTTGGTAATAAAAGTGAAAAAATGCAAATGCTACACTAAGTAGGATCACAGATCTGCCTGACTGCAAAGAATCAATTGGGATAATCCATCCCTACAACTAGTACTTGTGTTAGATCAGAGATTTACCCCAGCTAAACATACTGTTACTTTTGAGATTGGTTGATCTGGTCAGTAAGCTCCCTGGTATGATTCTTTTTTGTTGATCATCTCAAGGGATCAGTGTTTTGGTCATAGTCTCTGGGGAGGCTGTAGAGAAGAGGACTGTGTTAGCTGTCCATCTATGTACCATCTGTGTACCATTTATGGGTACAGGTAGTGTCTCCTGGGCAGGGACAAGACCTCTGAGAGCCCATGTGTTTCTGTATGGTGCACTGTCTGGAGGAGAGGTTCCATTCTCTCAGGGTTTATTTTTCCTGCAGGATAAATATAAGCACTGTATAAGACAGCTCATCTGTGCTTGATGCAGTCTTGGCAGGAGGGTATGCTAACAGTGAGCAAGAAAGATTTGGGATTATTAGGACTGCTGATAATGAAAACATCCACTACATGCCCTGCATCTCTTTAAGGAGCATTAATGTGCTACTCCAAAGCAAAATTCCCAAATGGGCCTGACTGTTTGTCTTGGCTGAAGCTCATAAACTGCTTCAAGACTAGCTGCGTCAAAGAGAGACAGTCTAGAAGTAGTGCTGTTGAGCCAATGCCTTTTGCTGCTTTGTTTTTCTAATTTTATAACTTCTCCAGACCATCTGTTGAGTTGTTTTCCAGTTCCTGCACAGAAAAAGCTGCTGCTATGTCGTGCATTTTCCAGAGAAAG